ATGACCTACCCATATCTACAACCACATGTCACATGACCAAGTGAGGTCTCATGACACAATAAGACAACAGACCTGAACCTGTTACTATCACTGATCCAGTGAGATATTGTTGAATTGTCTGATACTACATAAACCAAGACTACAGTGCTTAGATTTACAGTATATTGTAATATTTATTCCCAGAAGTCAAGAACGAACATTCAGTCTAAAAATACATATCTTATTATGCATCTAGTGCATGTTCCATAAAAAGAAAAATATATATGCACCGTTTTGAATGAACTGGCGAAGATAGCCTGAGATGCGGCACTTTGTGTCAACAGAACAGTCATCATCTTCATCGTCCACTGTGTCAAAAGGCTAGGTGATGCGCTGAAGAAGAACCTTTATTGAAAACAGCAAAGGGTCAACTACATTTTACTACTATAACTTTTCCATCTGTGAGATGATGCTGGAATTAGCCTTTATTTTTGCAGAAAATAAAACTGAAATTATAATAAACATCACTTAAGAACAATCAAATAAAATCCTTCAGCTTTACAACAACAAAGCTTCCATTCAAGCCATTGATTCCTAAAGAGTTAGGTGTTTTATCAAACACACAAAATATATTTCATTCATTTGAGATTACCTCAGGAACAGGGTGTGAAGCTCCTTCACCTGGGAAGAGCAAGCCCACTGCATCAGGTCTTTTTGTTAAGACTGTCCACATTCCAGTCTCTTTGAGTCCACCTCGCATTTGTTTGGTTTGCCTGGTTATGCGACCAATTACCTGTTCATTTCATACATGTGTGAAAATTAAGATTACCTGTATAAACCATTATGACTGGTAAATTACGAGTATTACCTACTGTGAAGTCAAAGCTAAGGATCAAACATTATTTCTGATATTGAGTAGAAGGCTGAAGATTTCAAAAAAATATTAGAAAAAAGGAGCGTGAGTGGAGACCAGTTTTTTTTTTTAGAAAGTTAATCCTTATCAAGCAGGGAATCTACACAATTAATAGAGAGCTTGACACTTACCGCATGCATTAGCAGCTTTTCAAACATCCACCTCCTGTTATTTTCTTTGAGTGGGGGAAGGTCCCAGGCGGCAGCCAATTCTTGGACAGTTTGTTTGTCCTCTTGGGATATTTCTGCATCCCCCTCAAGCTAAAAAATATGATAAAAGGAAAGACAAAATGTAACCAATGGATTAAACTGTAGACCTGAGGTCACTAACAGGCAGACTGCGATCCGGGTCCGGACCCAAAAGCAGTCCCATACGGACCTACAACCAAAACAGGTTAAGATTTAAAATAAACTCTCTCATAAACAAACTAAACATCTTAATTTATTTACACCACCGTGTGTAGTTTCTGTCTCTCCGTAGTAGCATTAAAAAAATCTTCACTGCTCTGTGTATTGCAAACAGAGATATGTAGATCCACTCTGATGAGCACACACGGACACATGCGTGCACGCGCACGCACGCACGCACACAGATGAGCGCACTTCTACGAGCAAACAGTCTCATCAACTACGTGAAAATCAGACAAATATATGTAAACACAGGATGAAGATTATAATATTCAAGTTGTTATACTGACTGAACACCGTGATTCATATTGTCTGCCCATGACATCACAGCGTCTCTGTGCTCAGGCCATAATAATTTCCAAGGCAGAAAAGACAATGGCTCTGACTTTGCCTGAATCTAGCTTTAGTTCTCTTTTAGGTTAAAACATTGACCTCCTTTCTCTCTTATGTCAGGAGTGGCTAAACCTGCATTGGATGCTTTGTGTTAAATGTTATGCTTTTGAAATGTAAGATGGCTTTGTGGTGTCTTAAAAAAATGGTTCTGCACACTTGCAAAAATTAAATTGCAATACTTAACCTGAACAAAAGAGCAGAATGGTTTGTTACTTTGCACTAAAATACCTGAAAATACAATTCATTCAAAATCTTGATGAATTCTAAACCAATTGTTAAGATGATTCTTACCAGTCTGATGGTTTCTCTTATATCCAAATCTGGACAATCTTCTATAGTCACAGTAGCGGTTTCAGGAGTTCCACCAAGCAGCACATGTATGAAGGCAGGGCTCAGGTCTGACAAACATGGTCCCCCATGAAGGAATGAGTGCCCGAGCATTCGGCCTACCATGAGGAATATGTCGCTCTCAATAAGAAAATGTGAGGCTGAAGGCACCAAATGCCCAGGCTCACCATCAAAGACACGTGTGACTTCAGTGTTCGCTAAATATAAAACAAAAATGAAGTAAAAATGTATTAGTTTATACTTATTAGCTGACCAACAGTCATTACTTTGTTTTTCATTAGATACCGGTACATGTAATTCATTCTAACAATATAACTCACCTGGTACATCAAACTGGATAAAATGAATTAAATTACATGACAATTTTACATTAAGTGATAGCAATATACATACCAAAGTTGATGTTAAAACCAGATTTCATCTTATCTATACACGTGGAAAAGAAAAATCGATTGACCCCCTCTCCAACAGCAGTATCACCTGCCAAAGGATTGTAACTTTAATATTGTAAAACAAATGCAATTTGTTCATCATCATCATTTATGAGTGTTGATACCTTCAAGTCTGCAGTTTAATGGCCTTGCCCAGTCAATGTTGGGGCGTTTATAGAATAGCATCAGTGCCATATCTTGTTCTGCTAGACTTTGTCTTATGTCCATACTAAGACACAATGGAGTCTCCCGTAGATGGTTTTGAAGTTGGGAAAGACGAAATTGAGAAATGGCTTTATCAAGGTAGCATACCATATAAAAACAACTATTAATTTTAACTTTCTGGGCTTAAATCCATTTGTCACAGAAAACAAAACAACTGTTCCCTACCAGAGGCTTTATAAAGAAACCATCCACCAGTCACTGTCCTCATTTTAGGATATAATATTTTCAAGACATCACATATCTGTAAGCAAAAGGATTTTAATTAGGTTTATCTGCTAAGGAAACAATGTCCTTCATAATATCCATGTAGTAATTATAAATACAATTTTACGTATTTATAGTACGTGTTTTACCTCCTCATGAACTGCGCTTTCATCAAGTCTGGCAGTCTTGCAGCCCAAACCTGACTGTGTGTGTAACAGCTGGTCAGGTTCATTAGGAGTTTTTTCAGACGTACATGGCAAAAGGTAAAACTGAATATCCATTGGTCTTTGTTTTTTTGCGGGCACCAGAGGAACAGCAGGAAAGCGTCTCTTTCCTTTGCCCCTTGAAAATAATCCCGGAAAAGATCTGAAAAATACATTTAAAAAAATTTCAATACATATTTTTAATTACCTCTACTTAATGAATTATGCAAATGTTTTTCAGTCATATCCATATACAGTATGCAGTACTGAACCTGGTCATTTCTGTTTGGACTGAAGGTCTTGGCACTGGATGAGATTCATTCAAACCACCTCCATTTATTCTGGAGATTGGCAGCAACCAATATTAAGTATTAACAAAATAATGGTCAATTTGAGCATGTGCTTATGATAACTACAAATGTCTAGATATCATACCTTTCACTCTGAACATGGGAAGTGCACGGGAGACTGGATGGTGCCCCTTCTCTCTGAGCAGTTAAGAGTGAAAGCAAATGCCTTAGTGACCTCTATTTCAGCATGGCTACCCTGCAAAACATGTCATACTAGACAGATTAGAGGCACCACTGTGCATCTTAAAGCTTCAACTGTATTACTTATGTCTGATATCAACTTATGTCTGCTTTCAACAGCTAACAATGTCTAATTTCAAAACTTATACGAGTAAATCAAGCCAAGGTAAACAAATGGTGCGATAAAATGTTTTAATCCATTCTTGATTCTACAGTTATTGCTGCAAGTAAGATAACATCATGATAGCATGCTACCATGGGTAAACACGTTAGTTGCATCGTGGAACTGAGCAGGTTTAGGGGGTGAGATAGACAGACAATGGCCGGACCCGCGCTTTCGAGAACGTGGCTGCGTCCGAAACCGCCTACTACCATACTGTATAGTAGGCGAAAAGCAGTAGGCGAGGCGAGTAGTATGTCCGGAACTACTTATTATGCTATTACATTGCTACTAATACTACAATTTTCGTCTTCCTAACCCTGAACATATGCACGTTAGTTGCATCGTGGGACTGAGCAGGTTTAGGGGGTGAGATAGACAGACAATGGCCGGACCCGCGCTTTCGAGAACGTGACATACAGAAACTGGCATTTTATCCGTCGCATTTCAAAGCGCAGCTGAGCACTTGTAGACTGCTGAAAGATAATGCTGGCCGGGGGGAGACATGCTAGCATGATGAATTTTATCTATGGCTGGCAACAACTTGCAGTCAGCAATACTGTGTGCGCCATGCTGCCCCCCATAACTAGCTAAGATAATTAAGACAGCCATAGCTTGATAGCTAGCTAGCTAAGCTAGTTGTGGACAGTGTTAGGTATTTTTAGGCAGATAGATATTGGTTAGATACTTGATGTATTAGAAATGTTTAGTGTAGACAGGATGTCTGGCTAATCATAATCGCAATCATAATATTTTCTTATGTTTAATGTCATGACATGTCACTAGATATCATGTCAGAATGTCTTAGATACACACCACACAATCACGGGGGTCCAACAACATCCATAAATAAAACTCTTATATCGCAAATCACAAAATCTATCAGACAATATTCATACCTAACACAACGTTTTAAAGACAGTTATCACTTACCGGCGCGCTGCCCTCCTCCGCCATCACTTCGAAAATCACAGGTGAAACCTTCCACTCCTCTGTATGTAGTAGACATTCGCGCCTACAGGGTCACATGACTGACCTGTGTTTACCCGATTGGCCAGGGACACGATCGATGGCATTGTCGCTCGATTGCTACTGCCCAGTGTCCCGGATGTTGTTTTGAATTTTTGCACTTGAATTTCAGCACCTGAATGTCACAGTCTGAATTGTGAGTTGATTGAACTTTCTGGTTCTGAATAGTGCTTCTTGAAATAAACGCATTGAATATATTTTTTGAAAATTAGACATGTACATTTTTATATTTGAATTATTTAAATAATATTGGTGTGGTTTGAAATCAAAATGATGTATTTTTCTAACTTGAAAATCTCTACTTGCAATTTCACTGCGTAAAATTCAGAGTGCATTCATTCAGAATATAGAATTCAAAGTATAATATTTCAGAACCTATTATTCAGATGCTGATATAGATTCAAATCTTTATGAGGCCGTTTTGCTTCCATAATTTTCTTTCCTTTTTCTCATGGAGTTCAGATCTAGAAATAGACTGAGCTCTTTTATGAGCATCCTTAGTTTGGTAGCTTCTCTGGGCAAAACAATCTGTCATAACTATGGCCTACTTTTCATTTGTGATCTGTATCACAAATACGGTGCAGATGCTGAAATTGTCCAAATGATTATTGTTTGTGAACCATTTAGGATGAAAACTGCTTTTAAATTTGTCTTTTTATCTGTCATTTTTATGGTTGCCTCCATAGTATACAATGGAGGCAACCATCCTCTCCCCTGAAGATGGCAAGATTCATCCATGCATTATCTATACCGCTTATCCTAATGAGGGTTGAGGGGGACTGGAGCCAATCCCAGCTGGCACTGAGTGAGAGGCAGGGTCCACCCTGGACAGGTCACCAGTCTGTCAAAGGGTTGACATGTAGACAAACAACCACACACACTCACACTCACTCCTACACGCAATTTAGAGTCACTGATCAGCTCCATGTCCTTGATAAGCCGATGTACCAGAGTCAAATTCCTCGTGTGTCAGACACACCTGGCCAATAAAGCTGATTCTGACTGTGGGCGGAAACTGGAATATGGTAACATCTCAAATATTATGTCATGGCTGCTTGCTGCTCTCTCTCTCTCTCCTCCTGGCAGGTAAATGGTGGTTCAGGTGTGGCTGAAGCAGCTGCAGCTAATCCGCTCCAGCTCCAGCTCCTATTTTACCAGTAAGCAGGAGTTTCCTGGTTGCCAGTCCATCAAGGTTTCTTCCAAGACACTTTGGCCCTGCTTTTCTATCCAATGAAGAGAGTCTTTATTTCCCGACACTGTTTCCATTTACCTGTCTTTATCATCTTCCCTCAATGCTGTGGTCTCTACAGCCTCAGCCAACTACCCTGTGAGTTTCTGATTTTCCAGTTATGCTGACTGTGTCTCCTGTTCCAGCATATCCTGCTGTGTGTTCCTGTTTGGCCAGCAACGCTATCTACCTCTATCTGTATTAATTAATATTCTGCTTAGAGTAGTCAATACTTAATTTAATTTTCCTATTGTTCATATTCAAAAAGTCATAAAAGAAGAAATGTTCCTCCTCAGAACTGGACCAAAACAACAAAAAATCATTGATGTAATGACCCCACCATATAATCTTATCACTAAAAATACTCCCATATATGAAATAATTTATCCATAAGCCATCCATTTTCTAAACTGCTTAGTCCCAAACGGGGTCACAGGGGGCTGGAGCCAATCCCAGCCAGCTGTGGGCAAGAGGTGGGGTACACCCTGGACAGGTCGCCAGTCCATTGCAGGGCTAACACACACAATCACTCCTACCGGCAATTTTTTAGAGACACCAATCAATGCATGTCTTTGGACAGCAGGTGGAAGCCGGAGCACCCAGAGAGAACCCACGCAAGCACGGGGAGAACATGCAAACTCCGCACAGAAAGCCCCCGGGTCGGCCGGGGGTCGAACCCGGAACCTTCTTGCTGTGAGGCGACAGCACTAACCACCGCACCATGCTGCCATTATCCATAAGCCCCAAAAACAAATTTGTTTAATTAGGAGCAAAGGAAGCTCCCATGGCAGTTCCACAATCTTGAATATAGTTGATCCTGGAAAAGAAACGCATGTTTTTAAATGTCCATTCAAGTTGTAAAATAAGCTCAGAAGGGGGCATGGAGTCCCTGGGTCAATCTTGTAGTTAATGTTGTAGAGCTCTCAAACCATCAGCATGATCAGTGTTTGTGTATGGGGATTCTATGTCCAATGTTGCCAAAAGGCCATCAGTAGAAAGCCTCATACCCTGCAAGGTTTTGAAAATATGTATGTGTTGTCCTGGATGTAGGAGGTCAATGATGCACCAAAGTTTTAATATGAAAATCTACAAACTGGGAGGTTGGTTCTGTAAGGGATCCATTGGAAGAAATAACAGTTTTTTATGGACCTTACACAACATATAGTATAAAAAGTAAGAATCCTAGGATGTTCACACCACAAAAAGCCCAGCTCTTGTTTTGTGATTCATTTAGCCTCCCTTGTTACAGTTAACATGCCTTTTCAAAGTTTTCTGTTTGTTTTCCAAAGCAATACATCTTTTGATAAAAGGCAGGCTTGTTCTATTGTTGTAAGGCCTCTTCAACATACAGTATTTATCTTTATCCATTACCACTACTGCAACACTTTGTCATGACTGTCTGATTCATAGCTGAATGAGAGGGGAAGACTGGAAAAAGACTCTGTGGACTGATCTGAGCTCTCTGCATCTACTTTTTAAATTGTATAATGATGGCACCCATGTTAATGGTGCAAGACTTTTATTTTTCCTGCTTGTATGTACCTAAAAATATAGATAGGCCATGTTTAAGTAGTTTTGCATGTGCTAAGGAAAAACAATCCTTGGTCCTCAACATTATAACCAGGAAATGTGTTCACACTATAATCTATAATGTGACCTTCACATAATTTTGTTCTCAAGGAAACAGCAGTATTGCTGACTTGACAAAAGCACTTTATGCTACAGTGCTATTTAACTGATGTAAATTAATGACCATAAATCAAACTGATATGAACTGCATCGAATTGAAATTAATGGGCTCGAAATTGACCTGACTCAAGAACTCAGTATCCATAGCCAGCTCTAATCTACAGGGTATGTGTTATTTTTTGTCTATGTATAATTATTGCACCTGGATATGATGTCAGATCTGTCAGATTCCCAAAGACCACCCAGAGATAACCCATCTTATGTGAAAATAAATTCATACATTTCATAATTCAGATAATGTAACAATAGATTATTCACAGCGAATTCTACAGATCAGTTGTGGATTTGAGGGTTTATTTTAAGTAGGTCTAGCTGTTAGAATACATTTGGGTACCTGTTCTTGTGCTTCCTAGTCAAGATCATTGTCAAGAAAATTGCTATGCATCTGTGAATGAAATAAAAGGTGGTCTGAACAGTTATCACAGTCCTTTTTTGGGTCCAAATGATCACCAAAACTGCCCTGTACTACTATCTGTACATGACCTTAACTGTGTCTATACACAAAAGACCCCAGTACAAAAAAAAAGACTAGTTACCAAGGAAAATTACATAAACTCTGTTTGAAGCTATGCTGGCTTTGTCTTCTTCTTCTTCTTCTTCTTCTTC